ATACGCGTTGCGAATATAACCGGAAAGAACATCCTTGTTATGGATGTTGTTGTTTTTTTTATTATAGAGGATAAATTGTATTACTGCGCCTAGTAAATTATTGTTTTCTATCATAAAATCCATGAGAATAGTTTTCGTTATTTAAAATGAGGAAGGAGAACGAGAAAAAACGCAATACAAAGAAAAGATGGAATACTTGTAATTTATATACTGTAGTGCTATTGAGTGTGTTTACTAATTTAGCAATTTATAGGCTGGTATTAACACGTATATATTATATCATTATATCGCTATCATTTTTAAGATCCCGATTAATAATATCATATCGATATCGCCTGGCCTGGCCTGGGCACACACGATTGTTGCTGATCCATTGATTTTTTCGCATTCACTCTACTTCTTATCGTTATAGTACCACAAGGTTTAATACAAGAAATATCCTCGTCGATCAAAGAAAAGACCGCATTATTTTGGTTGGAAAATGAGTGAGATTTTATCATATCATTGAGTAAATACTATCATTTACGAGAAAGGTGTCATTTATTTGATTACAAAATCAATTTTATCCTTTACATGTATCGTATTTTTAAGAAAATAAGCACTCCAATTTTTTTAATTGATTATAACAATAACATAAACAAATTCCAAAGTCTTGAGAATATGCGTTATGCCACTTAGACTTAAAGTCTATACTAGATTGAGATTTTAACAATATAAAGAGGAGGAGTTGGCTACGCTAAATAACAATCTTGATCTAAATACGCTAAATCATCATATTCATCCTCCCGTTCAGGGTCATCATATTCATCCTCCCGTTCAGAGTCATCATATTCATCCTCCCGTTCAGAGTCATTCAGAGTCATCATATTCAGGCAGAGCATTATAGTAATCGTAATATTCATAATAATTCGAAAATTGTCTCTTGATCCAAATTGGTTGGTAAGGTTTATTTCTTTTCCTTGAGGAGGAGGAAGATGATGATGACGACGCTAACTTGTTTATTGATGACGACGCCGCTTTTATTGATGACGATGAAGCTTTTTTTGATATGCTGCTGGTGTCGTTTAATTTATCACTCAGCTCTGCTACAATTTCGTATTTAGTTAT